GTGCGACATTTATTATTAAGAGGACAGTTATGAGAATTTATGCAGTTACATAATTTTTGTTTATATTCATCTCTTTTTATTATTGTACTGTCTAAATTTCTTTGGTCTTAGTTTAAATGTTTATTCAATATATTAGCATTATGGTTCTTAATAATTTTTTCTATGTTTTCAGTACATCTGTAACTTCATTTTAGGGTATTTTTATTGAAAATAGTACTGAGTTTACTATCTTTAGGAAAATGTTTAACGATTAATGCAAGGAATTCTTTTCCTAATTTATTCTTTACCATTTGGTTGTATGGGGGTGTATACCAAATCATTTTTCTACTTCTGATTTTTTCTATGCATTAAAATTTTCTGTATAATATCTTTCTAATTCTAAAGATTTTAAAGTTCGTAGAGTTCTTTATTACCATAAGTCCATCGTTTCTGTATAATCCGATGCCAGTTATATTAATTTCATGATATTCTGTGAGATTGTATAATATAAAAAGACCTATTAGGTCAGAAGACTCAGCGGAGTCTAGTGATCCCATTGGTCGTAAGAATTTTTTATCCATTGCTCACCTCTATGTATTAGTACGGATTTTTTCGCATTTATAATAATGATCTTTTCTTCTGTTACATCCATGTGTAGCAAAGTCGAACGCATTCATGAACAATTCGTTTGATATTGATTGATAGTAAATTTCAATATCAAACTGCATTTGAATTAATAAATTTTGTTTTTATCTTTTTTTCATTTTTGTTTTTTTTTTACTTTTTGGTATTAATCAAGTTTTAATCCTATGTTTTTTTTAATTTGTTGATTAACCCTGTCAAGGATTTTTTTCTTATTTTGCTTATCTCAGGTGTGGTTGGGTTTATTATCCTTGTAGTGTGATTAATCTGGTGTGTGGTCCTTTATGGTAATATAGCACTCTTTTTCGTTAAGTTTACCTACTCTATCACTAACCTTCAATTTATCTGTGATTTTATTTTACTGCCAATGTTAATGTTTTTCACCATGGTGAGATAATTATTATTTGCCTTTTTATAGTTCTTATGTAGTGATGGAACCATATTTGTAATAAGTAAATGTATAATATTTGTTTATTTATATATATATATATATATATATATGATTAATATCTGTGTATATTTCTGAGATGAGGTATTATGTACACTATTTACATTATTCGGACTATTGTCCGAATCTTTCTTGTCATATATATTACAACGTTTCGGCCGTTGTATGCTCCGGCCTTTTTAAGGTGGTTGGAATGTCGAACTGAACCCTTTATTTCGCTCACTGGGGTAGATTATTCTAGTTTCACATGCCATGTCTAATGGATGTCCGTTATCAGTTATCTCCTGTTAATTCCCCTCTCCAATTTCTCCACGGCATTAAGCAAGTATTGAACTCACACTCTTTGGGTCCTTTTACTGGATCTAACTAACGCCTTTATCCACTGTGCCATGTGTCCTTGAGAAAATATGTGTGAGAATTTCTGGGTATTATAAACCTAATGTCTTTAGCAATCATTTTTACTAGTGCTCATATTGCAATTTTTGCTATTATCATTTTATGTTTTTTTTTTACCAGAGCTCATATTGCAACTTTCGTTATTATTGTCGCTTTTCTCTGGCATTCTTTATTACTGGTTCCCATATTGTATTCATTTATATGCTTGGTAGGTTCAGAAGATTTTTGTGGCCTAGCATATGTGCTGATTCCTTAAGTTTAAGAATTTTCCAATGATTTTCTTTGTCTATGATTTCAACTTGATTCCACAGAAGGCGGTGATCTCCCTTTTTTCTCCATATGTGGTCAGCCGCGCCTGATTTTTCCACTTCCCCTCGTGTTACAGCTTTCGGGTGTTCTTGAAGCCTTACCTTAAAGGGGGCGGCCTGTCTCCCCTTTATATTTCTTTCCGCAGCTGCATGGCATAGCGTACACACAGTCTTTAGTCATGTTCTCCTCTATGAAGAGGTCTTACTCGAGAGAGAAATCTGCAAAGTTTTTGAAGGTTGCACTGATGTTATATGGACCGCAGACCCTTTGTATTTTCCCTGATAACCCCTTCACATAAGGCAGGCAGACTCTTTTCTGAGTGTTGTTGTCCTCCTCTGGTACCCACCTATCCCAGTTTGTTGCGGCTATTGCCATGTACCCAGGGTAGTTGTTACATTGTAGAGTACTATTTATACTGACCAATCCTTTATCTAATGCCTCTGGGTCACCACTTATGACTTTTGCTCAGTGTATAAGCAGCGGACGATCCCTTTCTTTACGCTGTATGGATAGTAGGAGATCAAACCAAAAATGAAATATTGCAACCACATCTGGATTGAAACTGCCCAGTTCTCACTTTCCAGTTTCGACGGAATTTAAAAGCCTTTCCTTTCTGGGTATGACAATTAACTACATCCGCATCCTGGGTAAGACGATAAACCAAGTCCAACAGCAAGGCCTCTGATCAGGAGGTTTTGAGGAACGTGGAACCACCTCTTAATTGTTGGTGTTCTCATGTCCACCTGGCACCTGTTAGGGTCCCAGCTATGGGCAAATAGTTAACCCCCAAACTGGGGTCAAAACATTATGACAGTTAAATATGTTTTAATAACAGAAATATTTTGTAAAAACATTATTACCAGCAATACATTTTTGAAGAAAAAAAGATATTACCAGTAATAAAAATTGTCGGCATTAAATAATCCATTGAGGTTGATATGACGTAAACCAAATCAAACCAATCAAAAGCATTTGCATAGCCTTGTGAGTGAAAAATTGTTTATCAGCCTCCACCCCGACTTTCCTTCCTGCAGACGAAAAGCTGCTAGTCTCTCGTTGCTCTATCATTATTTTCATGATAGATGTTCAAGTCAATTACGTCTTTGGTTCGACCAGTTCAGACTTTAATAGTTAGAATACGGCAAACCTCGGTTCATCCTCATTCGTTTTATGTCCCACTGGGAAGGAGGAAATTTCATCCCGTCTCTTTCTCAGGCGTATTGCATTGTGGGTAAGAATTCCGAGAGAATGCTTCTAGAATCACTACAATCTTAACCTCTTCAATTCTCTGCGGATGATGATCTATCTTGCATATCCTTCGAATATGCTTCTCTTTCTCCCAACTTGTACGCTCTTACAGCAATCTCATTTCGTAACCCTTTACTTTGAAGCTCTTTAATGAACAATATTTTTTTTTTAAAAAAGGGATTCCGGTTTTATCTAGATTTGAGCATAGAAAATTGACAACAGTTGGATGGGATAGGGAAGATCATCTCAAAGCAAGATCGCTTCTCATTACGAAGATATAGGTCCTTGAATTAAGTTGCTGGACTTAGTTCTGCAAAGTAGAAGGCCAGATTTTTTTCTCCAGTAATTTATTTCCGACGCTTATCTATAGATGAGAAGGTAAAAAAGAATGAAAGAAAAAAATATTATGAAAGGCTGAAATGACAAGAAATAAGGAAGAGGATATAATGAAAACCTTATAGTATAAGAAGAAACAAAAAAGACAAAATAAGAAACAATTGGTAAAAAAAAAGGAAGGAATCAAGTAAGAACGATATAATGGAAAAATCGAGAAATACAGAATTAAAATAAAGATAGAAAAAATATAAACCGTGAAAATGAAAAAGAGTTTTAAGGCAGTAAAAACATATATAAAGAAGTGTATGATTATAAACATCAAATGTGTGAACAAAGAGAAAAGGTAATAAAGAAAATGACGTGAAAGAAAGCAAGGTGGAAATTATGATTTCATGAAGAAAATTGTGGAAAAAATAATGATGGCAAGAAAAATGAAATATAGGAGTGAGTAAATAGCAACATCAATAAATAAAGAATTGTCTAAGAAAAAAATAAAAAGAAGGAAAACGTAAAATAAATATTGAAGATATAAAATAAAGAAATAATGCAAATAATAAAAACAGAAAAACTGACTCAAGAAAGAAAGGGTGGAAGGAAATGAAAAGAAAAAATCGAAAATAATGAAATGTAGTACGTTGGGCAAAAGATTGATTCAAGAAAGAAAAGGCTGGAAAAAGGAAAGAAATTAAATTTTGAATGACGAAAAGAAAGAGAAAAGAATGATTTAAAAAAAATGAAATAGAAGAGTGAAAGCATTGGAAAGAAAAACCGAAAGTGTGACGTATTGAAACAATGAAAAAAAAAAAAATAAAGAAAATATGATCTTCCTTTAAAAAGAAAAAGAAATCTTGTACTGCCATTCTTTTTTTTTTTTTTTTTTGCTTAATTTTTATATTTTTTGCAATCCATTCCTTTTCAAGTTTCTCTGAAGATCGCCAAGTAAGGATTGTTCCGATTTTAACTATAGGAAAGGAAATGGAAAAAAATCGTAAAATTCCCTTTTAACTACTCACTCGTCGCTTCTCCGCAACTCAGTGGAGTTTTATCGTGTACACTTAACAGCTTGCCTTCCCAACCGTACGAACCAAAAGGAAGGAAAAACAAAAACAAAACTCATGAAACCTAAAATGACGAACTAAGCTTTTCACAAAGAATAGATAAGTTATTTGATAAACGTTTCTGATTGTGCGGAGAACGCCGCTTGCCTATTATGTCGATTGGTCATTTTGCTTTTTTCAGCGAAATATAAAAACTCCCATGAAAGGAACGAATTTCATATCTGCATAAAATATTCAGAAAAGTAACTCAAATGGGATTTCAAGAAGAAAAAAAAAACAACAAACACTTGTGCGATATTACAGGAACACTGAGCGGGGAAAAGAGGTTGCAGTCTTTATGAAGAAAATGAGTTTACATGAATTAGTTCGAAATGAGATAATTTCAAAAGAATTTATTTACGGAAAAACAGACATAGTATATTTCTTGATTATGGTAAAAAAGAAAGAAAGAAAGAAAGATAATTGTTCTACTATAAATCTTGTGAAGTTGAGCATTTTGGAATTGATGCCCAAACCACGATTGCACGTAAAACTATGATTTTGAATCATCTGTAAATGTTTTATATTTCTTAACACATTTTCAGTATCAAGTGATTTGATTTTTTATCTTTTATATTTTTCTTTGTTCTCTCTCTCGTCCCCTCTCTCTTTCTCGCACTCTCTCTCGTCCCCCTCTCTCTCGTTCTTTTTTTCTTTCTCTCTGTCTCCTTACTCCTTGTTCTTTCTCTGTCTCCTTACTCCTTGTTCTTTCTCTGTCTCCTTATTCCTTGTTCTTTCTCTGTCTCCTTATTCCTTGTTCTTTTTCTGTCTCCTTATTCCTTGTTCTTTTTCTGTCTCCTTACTCTTTTTCTGTCTCCTTATTCCTTGTTCTTTTTCTGTCTCCTTATTCCTTGTTCTTTCTCTCGTTTGTTCTCTTTCTTTCTTTTTTCCTCTTTCTCTCCATCTCTTTTTCAGCCACAGCAGCCATCATGACGTCAAATATTTTCTTTCCTTTAACTTTACTCTCGCCCCGTCTTCATTTTTTTTTAAGTCATTTTTTCCTGCTCTTGTCTACTTTCTCTTTCATTTTATTTTCTCTGTTTTTTATCCTCCTCGTTCTTCACTCATTTTCTTTTCTTCTATAATCCGCTGATTTTCACAGCAATGGGCATTTAAATATAGGGATAGCTTTTATCAGGTTCTCTCTTTTAAGTAAGCAGTTTAATGCAGTAAGCATTTAAAATTTCTTAGATATTGGCGGAGAATATACAAGATTCTTCAAAAATAAAATCATATTTATAATTGATATGTCATAAAATATTTCCTTTCCATTTTTTTTATCGATACTTCTTGATATGTTAAACAGTTATGACGCATCTGGACGTATTCATACTGCATTTGTTGTGAATATAAACGTCATATTAACTAATTTTGTCTGACAAACACAGGATTTCTATCTGGTGAAAATAGGCCTATTCTTCAGCTGCAAATCACAACTTTCCGTGATACTGAAACGTTTATAAATGTTCACAAATTAAGAATCGTGTTTTTTTTTTTTTTTTTTTTTTAGTATGGTGGAATTTTGGAAACTTTTCCAAAATCTGTCTGATAATGCGAAATTGTCAGTGAAAACAAATCTTAAATTCCTTTCGCTTGTGAGTGAAAATGATCAGTGATCGCAATATTATCGAAGAAGCAAGAAGGAAATAGCTGGAGCAAAAACACCAGGTTATCTCATATAATGATTGATTTATGAATTAGCAGCAGAACAAAAGGAGGGAAATAAATTTAACTTCTTGGTGAAAATCTTGCGGGATTAAACGAATTTTATGACAGCTCTGCTGAAACGTAAACTCTCTCACACACAAACAATATGCATTCCTTTATATATATATATATATATATATATAATAAAAAACGGAACGCATTCTTTTAAAGAGACATTTTTCGTCCAACATTTCTCCAGTTCTTCGTTTGAACGGTAATAATCAAAACGGCTAAACTGAAAAGGTAAACACGGAGGTGGGGTCCTGGGTTAAATAAGTATCTACAATTAAAATAAATTAATTACTAAAAACAAGTAAATTGGTGTAAATAAGCTCCTAATTTTTGTTATATATGATGGCTGCCACCTGTAGGTCTTAGCATTGCTTTGTTGAACGTATAGGATCTTTAAGCCTGACAAACCTTGTAAAACTTTAGTTGGCAACATGAGATAGATGTACGTTTTCATTGTGTTTAGTTTTTGTGACTTACCAACTTTGGCGGAAATGTGATATGCCATTTTGTATTTGGTTGGTTCTCTTGCATGATGACTTCGCATATGATTTAATTTTACGGTTTTACACAAGCTGCTACGAAAACTGCATGTGAAGCCAAGCCTATCACCTATATCGTTTGAAAGTTTATCAATACCTTTTCGGACACTTCAGATGTTCTTTTGCAATCTGAGGACTCTCGAAAGCAACTTTTCCACCATCAACCTCCTTCCGTCAGTTGGTACGACCGTTTTCAGGGATCTCGTAGTCATATATATATATATATATATATATATATATATATATATATATTCGTCAGATTCAATGACAGTTTCAGGTTATCCTTATAACGCTTCTTCGGCTTGTGTGCTGGTCTTTCTCTTAGCAAACTCTCCATTCAAAAAGCTGCTTTGGAATCCTGTTGTCGCTCAAATGTCCAACACAACGACTTCTTCGAAATCTACATTCGAATATATATATATATATATATATATATATATATATATATATATATATATTTTTTTTTACAGGTGGTTTTACGGACGTTTCAAAACTAAAGTATTTCTCGATATGATTACTCTACGCATTTCAGCCACTTCGGCTACCTTATTTTTTTCTTTTTCAATAGGGGCATGTGCTTTCTTTTTCGAAGGGATGGATTTGTATCAAAACGATGCAATTTTTGAAATTCTTAATCAATTTGGAAACCAGTTGTCCAGTTTTCCTTTTTGCTGCAAACAAGAAAATGTCATAGATAACCTCTGAGTTTTGCAGAGCTTAGAGTTGTTGTTTCAGACTAAAATTTTTTCTAATTGCTTGCCGTTGATGGCATTTTCGTGGTTTTTTTTCCTCAGGACTAATCTTGACTATCCTATAAAGATATTGTTCACTCATTCGCATCCCCAAGCGCTTCCAAAATGAATCTGTCAAATATTTATACATATTGTTATTATTATTAGTAATAATTTATACGAATATTAAATCGTTTGTATTCATTAAAATGGCATCCCATGTGTTAAAATATATTTCATCTAAAAGATCCGGATGTATGCAACAAAATCTTGTCTACCACACGAAAATATTCAGTTTTTTTTTATACTGACTGAGACGACCAAAAGTGCTTGAACAAAAACAGACAAAGCACATCAATTTAAGGCATGTCGGCTAAATCTCTCAATACTTGTTCAAGTGGATTCTTCCGAAATATACCTGACTCACCCCATACATATATATATATATATATATATATATATATATATATAAATATATATATATATATATATAGTGGAAAATATTCGTGCTCCATCTCAACTGGTTTAGCTTTATATATTTCCCATGTCCGTATATATTTTTTCCTTTTCCCTCTCCCTTAGCGAGAGAGCTTCTCAATTTTGTCCAATGGGTAGAATACAGCGGCCTCTCTTTTTTTGAGGGTTGGACGGGTTCTACTAGCATCAGTTATGTTTATTTTTGCTTTGTTTTGATATTTAGTTTGTTTTGGGGTTCATCCCCTCCCCTCTCATTTTAATTCATTAGATTTTATGTATGAAATGTTTATTATCATCAAATTTTTATGTCACCGGGTGCATTTTGTAGGTCCCCCTGAGAGGATGGGGCAGTTTGGGGATTGATTAGTGACGGATGAGTTTTTATGGTGAATGTGCAAATTGTAATGAGTGAATGGGTCGTGAATCGGATTAGCTAGGTATAAGATAGTGAAGACCAGTCTCAATCCATTCCCCCTTTTCGGCCTTGTGCCATACTTGTATTTATTTACAATAAATCTCAATATTTTTGTGACTCGTTTCGTCCTCTTTTTTTTCTATATAGTTTTCCCTAAAATTGTTCTTGACATATAAAAATTTGTAGATCGTTCTCCGCTCACTATCTATATCTATCTATGTATATATAGAGAGCATATTTTCATTCAAGCAGATTTGGTAAAATAATTTAGACGTATTATATCTATTTATTTTAGTTTTAATCCTTTTAAGTCCACAAATTAATTTCTTGGTGGCTGTAGAGAATTAATCAAGGAAAATACCGAAATTTTCTTTCAAATAATTTTTATTTTCCCAAGTATATTTAACCTCAGTAGACACCATCTCTAGGGGGTTAAAATATCTCTGAATATGTATACAGTAACTTCGTAAATTCTCTCTCTCTATATATAATGTATGTTTGTGTATAAGCAGTAGTTTTTTTGTTCATTCAAGTATCATTAAATGCTACTAACAAAGAATACCTGGTTAATTATTTCATGTAACTTCTCTTTACGCAAAGGTAATTGAATGGTTGATTTTACAGAAGTTGTTCGTCTGTTTATCTTCGGTTTTCACCATTCTTTTATCAGACTTATGTAGGTTTTATTGTCAGGAGTAGGTGAATTAAAACTGACGTCATGTTAGCATCCCTGTTACAATGTGTAATAGTCTGAAAAACTCCATAAGACGTCATTGGAAAAATCACTGAAAATAAATGGTTACATTAGAGTCATTCAATAATGCTTTTAAAATATGCATGTATTTTTTTTTTATAGATAGTAGAGATTTATTTTCATCTGTGTCGTAGTTGATTCAGACGCACAGACTTTAGACATTTTGTTTTAGCCGTAACCACTGAAGAAACGGCTAAAGTTCACGTATTAATGCGTTACGTTGGAACACAGTCAACGATGGTAATGCCAGAAAGGAGTGAATCATTTCAGGTGAGGGAAGGCCTGGTCAAAAATAGTTTTAGAGGAGGGAAATGGTGCTGAGAAAATGTGAAAGAAGTTACAACGGTGCAGACAGATTGTAAAATGCGAAGCCATAATGAAAGCAGAGGTGATTCCATCATGAGCCCAAAATAGTTTATCTTTGATCTTAAAGCCGCTTCAATTCACTGTTTTTTCCTGATTAGATCTTTTGATATATGTTTTCCTTATATATATATATATATATATATATATATATATATATATATATTCTAAATCTTTGTCCCCTTCTCCACTTGCAAAAGTGATTTTATTTATTTTCTATTAATATCAAATAGCTTAATTTTCTTCTACATTATATATTCTTTGAAGAATATACTTTTCGGAAACGAATTTTAGAAACAGTTCTTTTTAAATTTTAGAGCAGCACAAGTGCATATTAGAAATGAACTGATGACAGGAAATTGGAAAAGTGCAGTGGCATAAAACTTTAGAACATAAAAGATGATTTTATTTTTCAAATAATAAATTGTTTTTCATAGAATGCTCTCGCTTTTAAATGTCCTTGCGTTAATTATTTATTCAGTTCGTGGTTATGTAACTCATGATATCACAGGCAGGATATATTAATAATTTTCATTAATTTTAAACATTAATTATATTTTTTGTTTGTAGTATAAGATCGCAGCCGCACTACCCTAGATATTGCTGTTGTTTCCATGGCAAATACATGAAGTGGTTGTTAGTCTTACACTAAACCGGTTTTGAATTCAGATATGTCCTTCTGACTGATTGCAGAGAAAACCTTGAGAGTCGAGTATAACACGTCATTTAGTCCATAGATGGTAGGAAAATAGATGGATTCATATATTTCAAAGAATATTCGTGTGAAGCGACGCAATAACTTCGGTTGGAATTTGAACTCGACACAACAATCCTATTTTCTCGATGAGGGGAAAATGAAGCAATAATCCCTATTACATTTTAGTGATGAATGCATTTGTGCTTACAATATCTAAGAGTTCACTAATTTTCTGTACCTATCAGTTTACTAATAATTTAACCTGGTTTGCACTCACAAACGGGCTAACCATGTCTATTAGGTAGGAATTTTGGTGTCTTAATGTATTTCATTATTATATTTTTCGATACATGACTGACGAGGCAGATTTTTTTTCCGCAGTAGGTTGCCATTTCTTT